GGCTGCTTCATCTTCAAGATGAGGCGACTGTGGCTTCAATCCAAACTAAAATAGATGATTGGTCCTTGCAGGGATAAGAATGCATTTTTTATTGCCTGTTAAAGCTCCCCAAATCAGAAGAAGCATATGCCCCCAAGAGGTGGCTTTACTCTAGGGGAAGGAACTATAGACATCAATGGCTGTTGAGAGTTGAGAGCTGGAGAATCAGTCTGCTCCATTGGTTATCCCCATAAATGGTCAGGCCTAAACACATATGCATGTAGGTAACACTAATGAACTCAGCAGATTGTGTGTGTGTATGTATACATATATATATACACATATATACATATATATATATGTACATATGTAACAATAAAAGAAGAGGGCATGAGGAAATGGGCAGGACACAGGAGAAGCTGGCAGGAGCAAGGGGGATGGAAATGACATAAATACGATACTTTGTATGAAGTTCTTTTTCAAGTTAAAAAATCTGTAGAAAAATAAAATTGGGGACATGATGAGCAACAGGCTTGTGCTGAGTTGAGTCAATGTTTCTCAAAGGTGTTGAGTCAAGTGCTTCAGGACTCAGCAGGAATTGGGGTGTAGGCACTAAATTCAGGCTGGAGAAAATCAAGAGGTTGGAGCCAGAGGGAAGAGATCAGGAGAGAAAGGAAGCCCAGTGGGCAATGAGGATTGAGGTCAGCGATGGCTTGAAGCAGGCTGTAGTTCCCTGTAGCTATGGAGTGAAGGTCTGTGAGTAAGGGGAAAACACTTAATTTGCGCTCAGAATCCAGTGTGATTGTTTCAGTAAAACTCAGTAGTTTGGACCTTATTAGGATATTGGAAAAGAAAAAAATAGCACAGTAATATGTTATAGATGCCCTGTGTCTACAGATGAACACAGAGCTAATTTGACTTTATGTTTCTTTTAAACAATACATTTTTACTTGTGGAATTGAAATGAAAACTACATTGTTAAGAGAAAAATCACCGGAGATGAGTTTAGATTTGCAGATGTAAGTTATCAAGGCTTGGCAAATGATCTTTTGTTTGAGACAAGGGTTCACTATGTAGCCTAGGGTAGTTGGTCTTGAACTCGTGGTGTTCTTACCCTGCGTTCCTGAGTGCTGGAATTACAGGTGTGAGCCACCATACCTGGCTTGACAAAGCATTTATGTAAGGATCAGATTTTTTTGCCTTCATGAACCAACTAGTGGCATGTATGACTCTATAGCTAGCATGGATGGTACATAAAGGAGCAAGCCTGAGTTCCAACATGGCTTCTTTATGTTTACATAAAGATGTCATGTACTTTTCATTGCTAGGGAGGCTTTAGATTTGGAAGCAATGGGGTGGGGGGCGGGGAGAGGAAAGCTTAAATCACTGTTAGAACCAAAACTAGTGGAAAGACAGATTAGGTAGATTAACTTGGTCCACAAGGCGGTTTGCTGGGTTTAAGAATTCATAGCCAGGAAGAGTGCACAAAGCTCTTAGCCCAACACTGGGAGGTGGATGTTGGAGGCTAGTCTGTTTACATAATAAATTCCTGGCTATCCAAGGCTGCCCTGTGAGACCCTGCATCTGAAGACAGACCCACAGTGGTCAGTGGCATGGGGCTCTCAACTGTCAGGGATTTTGATGTGGCCACAGTGGAGGTTGGCTTTGTGGCAGTAAAGGGCAGGTCCTGCCCTTTGAAAACCCTTTAGCATCAACTTAAACCAACTTGCCTTCAGAGTAACCCAAAGGACACTGACCTCTCCTGACTGGTCTCATTTGTCTACCTCGTCTTACTGCCAGATCCTGTTTACAGCGTGACCCCTTCTGTGACTGAGGCTTCCCACGGAGGTTTTTATTTAGCTTATTGAATTTTTTATTTCCATCACCAATGCAGTTGGTTTCCTTCAGCAGTTCTCTTCATGTCTCCTATTTTCATATCTTGGATTGACATCTTTTTTTATCTCTCTTTTCCCCCTCTTGGTGTATAGTCTTGAGTAACTGAGTGTAGAGTCATGCTTTTGAATTGTTTGTATGGTAGCTCTGCCAGGTCACTACTGTGAAGTGTCATTATTAAGAAATTAGGGACTGGTTGGGGAGGAAGGCTATCTTTGATGTCCATATTTTTGTTCTTATACTGAACATCTGGAGTAATTTGTTGGCTGTTTCCCCCCTCATTTCTCTCAGCAGAGGTGGTTTACAATGTCCAGGAGAGGACTAAGATATAGTCCCACCCCCCCCCCTCCTGCGCTTGGAGCTGGTGCAGGAAATCCTAGAGTGATTTAGGCAGCCTCTAAGGAGGGGAAGTAGGGTCCCCTACTCCCTCTGTGCATGCTGAGCTCCAGGGACAAACATCCTGGGAGCTGCAGGAGGCCATGACTGGCACCTGGTCCATGGTTCCCAGGTAGTGTAGATGGGCCTATGCAAGGGGTGCCATGCCCCCTCCTTGCTGGGGGAGGCTGTCTGGGCGGGGCTTCTTGTGCAGGAAGCCTTTTCATGCTCTTTCTTATGGTTGCCGTTGCTGCGCCTTTCACAACGCACTGTGTTACTCCAGTAATCAACATGTCTTTCACTGGTCAGCACCACCCTGTCTTAGTTTAACAGGTCTTCATCCATGATGTATCCGTTACTTCTACAGTTTCTCCACTTTATTCTGATGAGAAGTTCCTACACTCTGTGTAAATCTCAGAATTAGTCTAAGCTTTATGATGAAAAAGTTTGTGATGGGAAATGGTGTTATTAATGTTTACAATATTAGAGACTCTTAATAACAATAGCATTGTTTCAGTTTATTGGCATCTCCCCATCATGTGGCCAGGGAAAGTTGTTTAAATTGTTCCAATAAGATCATATATCTTTTTTTTTTTTTTTTTTTTTTTTTTGGTCAGGTTTATTAATAGTCTTATCTCACGATCTTTTCAGGGTTATGACTGAAAGTGTTTGGGGCTAGTCTGGAGAAATGAAATTGGTTTTTGTCTGCTGGCCTTAAAAACATTGCCAAGTCCCTGTTGTTCCTGATTATATGCAAATTCTTTGGGGCATTCTAAATTTTTCAGCATTTGTGATTTCCATTCTTTCACTTAGTGGTTGGAGCTGAATGTTGGTATCTTATTTCTCTTAAGACCAATGTTTCTAACATGACCGTTACCAGATTAATGGAAATTCCTTATGGGCTTACTCATATTTTGCTAAAAGGTTCATTTACAAAATACAAAAGAGGGTTTCAAACTTATTACATGTAATTCGTGTATATATTGAGATAACTGTATTCAAGAAGTTTTGGTTAGTTTTCCAAACTAGATGAACAATCATTAAAGCAATTTATGTGTTTGAAATAACTCGATATAATGTATGTCCTAGCTATGGCCGGTGCTCCACAAGTCCTGAGCCACCTGCATTGTGACTGTCCTGCCCATCTGGTCAGTATGTACCATCCTCTCCCCTTCAGAGGATGCTCTCTTCGAAATAGTGTAATCTAACAGCGCCACCTGCTGTCAATCTTGGGAATTTCTGCTCTCTTGCTCTGGGCTTCCTGTATTGGCTCTTGTCTTCTGGTGCCTTTTTCTCTTCACTCACCTTTCCTCTTTGTCTAAACGTTAGCATACACATTAAGCCATTCTTTTCCTTCCTTTGCTTTCCCTCGCTTTTGTCTCTTCTGCAGTCTAAGCCTTCTTCAACAGAGTCTAATGATGGAAACCATAGAACTGTCAGTCAAAGAAAACAGTGCAACTAACCATATGTTTGAAAGGGTATTCAGTGCCACACAGTGTTAATTTAACAATGCTAACCATTAATATCCTCCAGATGCTGGGAATCCCTTTAAAATGTCCTCGCTTGTCAATTTTTAATCATTTTCTGATAAATTCTGCACAGTTTAACAAGTTCAAGGATTAGTGAAAAATTATTAAACTGTTAGTAACTCATTATTTCTATTCTTTTTATTAACATATTTGACAAATTCGGAGTTTCTCCTATATTTTATTGTAAGGGTTCAATTTTTCTTTATGGGTTCTTTGACCTGGCTGCCGAACCATCGTCCACTGCAATTATAGGGAGACAGCCCTCCACAGTTACACAACTCACTTAGGAGACAGACTTCTGTTTCTACTTTCTAATCTTATTAGTGCAGAAAATAGCATGAGCGTCAGTTTGGGCTAACTGATGAGCAGGTATGGCTAGTATAGTCACTTCTTTGAGGGGTTAACCTTCACCTTGCTTTTGGTCTGTATCTAAGAATGGCAGTTGAGTCTAATAAGGAAGACAATGTGTCCCAAACTGATCTCTATAGCTAAAGAGAGTACACCTGTGAAGGTATCATGCCGCTCCTCTTCATTTACTCCAGCCTACTAGGGGTAAATTACAAATTCTTGCACATTCAGAAACAGTAACTCTCTATTTCAAAGTAGATACCACAAAATATTCTAGGTCCACTAAGCTGGTTGTTACCTGAAGGACACAGGAGAGACTGTAAAATAATACAGAAAATCCAGGTTGGGGATGTAGCTCGGTTGTTAAAGAGTGCTTGACTAGCTTGCAGAAAGCCTTGGCTTCTGTTCCCAGCATCACATGAAACCAGACAGTGGTGTTCACCTATAACCTCAGCACTTAAGAGCTGGAGACAGGAAGATCAGGAGTTCAAGGTCATCCTTAATTACCCAGTATGCCGAGGTCACCCACTGATGAAGTTCTGACATATATGACTTTAAAGCTATGATGGTTGTGAAACTAATTTAGTCTGGGGAGAGTTCCTCAGTTCTTAGAGAACCCTCTGGCATCTGCTTCAAAGGGATCTGGAGATACTCTTCTCTCCATGTTGCACTAGTGGAGTTTCAAAGGTGTATTTTAAGGAAGGGTTAGAAAGGAGACCAGGTTAGCAGTTGAGTTCCCCGCTTGGCCCCCTGATAGTGCAAGCTAAGAAAGACTTTCCTAGCTTCTAAACTGCCTGGCATGCTACCCCCTCCCCTGCCTCCTCCCGTGCCCATCTGCATTCATGTTTTCTAACCTCTGGATGTCTCTTTCAAAAGGTGGGGACCCAAACTGTACGCACTGTTCCAGATGCGCTCTTGCCAAAGCAGCATAAAGCATATGTAACTGGACGGCGCCCTCCCTCCCTCTGCATGAGGTGAGTACAGCTGGCAGCAGCTGCTGGGGGGAGCCCACGCTCGAAGGAGACCTGCTCAGATCCTCGGGGACCTCCTATTTCTGTTCACCTGCTCGCCAGGGCCTTCTGCTGTCCAGATAAAAGAGCTGAGCCAGAGTGCACCGCAGCACCCCATCCTGCCCCGTCCTGACCTTCTTAAGGGTCTACATCTTCCAGGGTCCTTCACCAGTCAAGGGTGCCGCCCCCCACTGTAATCACTGTGCTGTCAACCCAAGTTTATGTGAATGAGATTTTATCTGTGACCTCGGTCAACTGATTATAAGTGCTACTACTTTAGGTAGGACATTCTCTTGCGTTTGTGAGAGGCTCTGGATGAGGGAGAGAGCTCAGGCTATTAGAGTGTGGCCTCACATGAGGCACTTTCAATCTGCTGGGGTATTAAGGTCACACCACTCTGAGTACAATGAAGTGTTGTACATGTGTGTTGAGTCAGAAGGTCAAAGCCTTATTAATAAAGTATTGTGCACCTCCCTTGGTCTGGCTATATTTAAAGATTATTTTATCACGATGACAGATTGTTAGAAAATTACTGAGTGTCTTTGGCAAAGACTCTTGTGACCCCAATTCTAGATGAAACCATAGCACTGTGGTTTATCTTAGCAACTATGATGGCTCCAGGGGAAGGTTCCCCCAAACTTTCTGGGAGAGGTTCCCAAGATTTTACCTGCTTAGTCACAGTGATGCCGTACGCTTGCAGATGTGGCACAGGATCCATCCCAGTGATGTGTCATTTAGACTTCCTTACATGGGATGGAACAGATGCCATGTGCTCATACATGCCATGAGGTCATCTAAAAATGACTTCCTTCGCCTTGAATTTTAGGTCCTCTGAAGTGAGGTGACCTCTTGACACCACTGAAACTGTCACAGTTTGAAAGTGAATTAGGCTGCTGTGAGCCCATCTATGTCTGCTCGAACTCATTTTGAAAGGGGCGTGGCCAACCGTAAATTCGTAGAATTCAGCTGTTCTTATTCCTGGTCTTTGACCAAAAATCTCCACTGGCCAGATGGTGGTGGCACACACCTTTAATCCCAGGGAGGCAGAGGCAGGTGGATCTCTGAGTTCAAGGCCAGCTGATTTACAAAGCAAGTTCCAGGACAGCCAGGGCTGTTACACAGAGAAACCCTGTATTGGGGGGAGGGGGGGATTCTCTGCAGGAAACACAGCCTAAACATTCACAGATTGCTGCAAACAGTATCCCCCATGGCCTGGAAACCCTGACTTCCAGAGCAGAAATTCATTATCCTATTTTGTTTGATTAAAATAGGTTGCATGTCCCACTCCTCGCTGGCCCCCTTGTTAATGCCTGTGCCCTTCAGGGGAACTGACTCCAAGTTCTTCTCAGTGTCAGAAGCAGATAAAGTGTCCCTGTGACTCAGGAGAGCAGCCGAGCTCCAGTGACAGACTCTGAATTATCCAGAGATGAATTCATGAAGGGAACAGGGAGCTGGCAGTCGCTGCATCATTCAACCTGAAATGTCATATAGCTGTCATCCTTAGAAGGGAGAAGGGCTGTGGCCTCCACAGTCTGTTGTCACTGGAAAAGAACTTGGTTGTCTTTTAGGCCTTAGTTCTTCAATCTCTCCAGACTGTCACCCTGCCTCCCTATGGGATTCTGCTGGCAATTGGAGGTAGCATCCAAAGCCACAGAGGGGAACTGGCTGGCTGGTTTGCTGTAGTGGAACCCCTGCCGTCTCAGAGCCAAATTAAAGCAAAATGGCTAATTAGCTGCCACAGTGTGGATCACTGGCTTCCTGTTCTCAAAATTCAGGCCCTGGGTTCTCTGCAAGGTTCTGGGCTAATTTTTGCTGAAAGGGCCAGGGTCAGATTTGACCACAGGCTTGTCTACGTGGGGTCCCTGAAGTATGAAGTGGCCTGAGGTACGTGCCACATGGAGCTAAAGTCAGTAAGGTGAGCTCACTCCTCAGGCTGTCCTCCCCACCCCCACTTCCTCATACCAGAGATGTCTGTGACTGTGACGTGAAGGGCAGAGAGTAACTTTACATCCATAACACCATTCTGGGGCCAGAATGTTCCCAAACCCGCTGTTCTGATCTCTTTTGAGGCCCCAAACAATTGCAGCTGCTATGGGGTCAGAGAGCAGCCTGAGCCTCCTGGCATTTCCTCCACAGCATTCCAGCCCCTTCACAGCCCCGGAACATTCCCACAGTGCTGGACACCAATTTCAGGGCCATGCCCTTTGCAACCCTTCCTGGTAATGTTTATGTTGAAATTTCTTCTCTCTCCTGACTTTCCCATCATCTGTCTGTACAGGTCCCTGGCAGCTGACCGTGATGAGCTTTAGACTAAGGATGTACTGGGACAGCCCTAGGTCTTGAACACATACACCCCAAACTCTAGTATCTCCAGGACAAATGGATGGCCCAGGGTGCCTGACGCTACTCCCCCAAACCCCCCCCCCCACACACACACACACTCACACCATTTGCTCTTGGTTTTCCTCTGCTGTTATTCTCTTTCCTATACTTTCCCACTGTCTTTCCTAGGAACAGCCCTCAGGAGATGGACCAGGACTTGGGATGTCTGCAGACCCGGCAGTCCTTAGCCAGCCAGCGTCTGCTGAGCTTGGCTTTTAGATGCCCTTTTCACAAACAGATGCTGGAAGGCACCAGCTTCTGGAAATCCCCCAGCACACCCCACCCCTGCTTTTTTTTTTTTTTTTTTTTTTCTGCATGACTAGCTCATAAGATGGAATCTAAAGGAAGAATTATTAAGACTTTTCCACGTTTAAAAAATGTATGTGACTTATCTTTGGCTTTTATTTAAGAGCAAACTTGGTGGCAGGCATCTCCCTTTGTGTATACTCCGGTGGAATCTGCAGAAATCGATATGACATACCCCCTCCTGTCTGGGCTGTTTGTATAATTGTATATAAATGTAGCAATAAATATATTCTAACATCATCTGGGGCCTGGATTCCCACTTCGTTTTGCACCTCGGTAGCAGGCAGTGGCAGTCACATTCTCACTGACAGGCCCTACTGACCACTGGGACCTACCTGGTCCACTGAGTTTCTCATCTCTGGTTTCATCAAGTGAGTGTTACTAAGAAGCAACCCAGCATTTGGAGAATGGATGGGGAGGGTTGGTAGCAGAGCCGGGACATGACACCGCATTAGTAATTCATGAAATGGCACTGGTCCTGGCTGGGGGAGGTTTGAATGTGCAAAGACTGAAGCACTGGGTGACAGTTTGCCATGTGACTCAGCCCTCTGACATTAGGGTGATTGTTCGGATAGCTGAGTCACATGGCAAACTGTCACCTTACGAATATGTTGTGTAGCCATGATGTGGTGAATGTGACAGGTACTTGCCAGGCACAGAGGCAGACTGTAAGGATTTTCATAAAACCACACAAAATATGCCATGATAGAATGTTTTCATTGGTTCAGTGGTTTTCAGAGGGACCAAGGCAATAAAGAGGGTATCTGTCAAACAAAACACTGTTTATCTACTGCCAAGAAATGTTTATTAACACTGCCCTCTCATGTACTCAAGGTCTTTTGTTATGAAATGATAATCATATGCTTTGTTGTGCATCTTACCAAATTGTTGGTGTTTCTCAATAGGCTTCTCCTTGGTCATAAACAGAAATTGGCACACGACCATTCAGTCAAAAGGATACGATGGGCCCCAGATTGAAACACACTATGGCACAGGAGGGTTTGGGAACCCTTGAAAGGCTACTAATTTTTGTGTTTTAAAAGGCAGTAAGCTGGAAGCAGCTGGGAATTATCAGACTGTGAGTTCTGAACCTTGGTGGTGCTGCAGGATTGTATGTCACAGCTGTCCTTAATCTCACCTCTTTGTAGACTCCAGTCTTTTGCTCAAAGGAGAGCCTGCTCTCCACAGCCGATGCTACCTTTCTGAACAACCTTCCTTGCTGGGACTAGTGACTTGCATAGGCAGAAGCCACCAGAAAAGAGAAGGTTGTGGTGGGGTGAGGGGTAATCCCATGGACAGACTGCCTGGAAACAGAGGCCCAGGGTTTCCTCATGGGGTGGGAAGACCAGAGCTATAAATGAGTGGGGATTAGTGGCTGGACCTTGGACCAATTGCTCCAGCAGTGCCTCTCACTCCTCTGCTGTAAAAATGGGTGCCTGGATAGAAGAAGTGAATCCTGCACCTCCATTTCTACATTTACTTTCTGTTTGTAATGTGTCATCTTGGAAAAGGGAAAGAAGTCACCTGTTTTTAATATTCAATAGAAGATGAACAATAGAGACAGGAGGATTACAAGTGTTTCTGTTCAGATACTAAGACATTTCAGAGCTTATCAAGTCCAGCCCCTGTGCAGAGACAGAACACATCAGGTGCTCACTGTCCATGCTCTAGTGGCTACTTTTTCTGACTCTTCTGCACATCAGTGGACAAATGGCCCAGATGCTGATGGCTCACAATCCCCCAGCAGAGGGTGAGAAGATGATGACTTTTAATTACCACCATCCCCACATGCTCCTGAAGGAGCACATGGATAGGGAAGCTTCTCTTATCCTCAGAGAACCCACAGGGGTAAGCATTCAGCCCCTGGCCTAGGATGTGCTCAGCATTTCTTTCCAGAAAGATGGAGGCCTTGACTGGAGACTTTGCAGAGGACACTGTTTCTTGAGTTTTCTTTTTTTTGGGGGGGGGTTGCTGTCTGTCTGCAGAGAGTCCACAGGGAGGGTGGGCCTGCCTTCTTGGGATTCAGTGGTAGACAGGAAGTTTGGTTGCCCCAGACTAGGTCTGAACACCCCAGCAAGGAACTTCAGTCAGGGTCAAGGTGACTCTCCTGCCTCCAGCCCTGTGTTTCTCATTTTATGCACATCAGACTCACCTGGAAGGGTGGCTAAGAAACATGCTGGGCCCCTTTCTCAAGACTTTCTGACACAGCAGGCCAGAGGCCTGGCTGAGGCATCTGCATTTAGCACATTCCTAGGTGAGGCCAAGGCTCCTTCAGAAGGGACCACACTTAAGACCCAGAAGCACTTCTCTGAGAGAAGGGGTTGTATTTATTGTACTCCTCAGACACCACAAGAACCAAATGTTCTCGAGGCTGAGTCAGCTGGGTGACATTTGCTAAACAGGGGCCAATGACCATTCCCTGGTCAGCATGAGTAACTCTTACAAATCAATATCCTCTTCTGGCCATGGCCTTGGGGACATACAAGTGGTTATGGATTATATTCACTTCAGACTGGGTAGAACATCAGATAAATGGATGCCAGCTGGACATCGGTTCTGAATTGGCAATTTAAGAAGAGAATCCCATTTTCCCTCAATAAGACCATAGACAGAGCCCTGTGCTGGATAAACAAACATGCACCCACCAGGCCTTAAAGCAGGGAGGGGAGAAGCACTCTATTTGAGCTTTTCACTGAGTTATAAAAGTCAAACACCCACACATCAGGAGATAGCCTGACAAGTCCTCACCATGGGAATGCATCTGGGGGATCAGCAGCAGAGGGGACACCCGGCAGGTGCACTTCCCTGAAACAGGTATCAGCTCCAGTAGATCTCATCTAATTGTAACTCATGTAGCTGGAGTTCATCTGCATGTACTCTTGAGTGTCTGCTTTTACTCAACACACACATTCAAAAATGCCTTCAAATGCCTTTCAACCCCTCTGGCTTTAGTGACAACCATACCAAATGCTTCTCCAGCCTTTGCCAGCAAGGCAGCTACATGCAAAGCCAGCAAGGACTTCCAAAATCCAGTCCCAACGTGGCTTCTCAGCCAAGTCTCTGCAGGGATCCACACCTAGACTTCCCAATTTCCTAGTCTTCCTGCAACCTGGTCCACTCTTGTGGAAACATCTTCCTTGCCACCCACCCCATTTGTGTTACTGTAAGACTCCACAAGTTGCCTGCAGTACTCTAGCCACAACCTTCTTCCTGGGTAGTTTTCCAGAGCGCTTTGCCCGTCACCAGTTTCCATCAGAGAAGCACTTTCCTCTCCTTCCTAATTACTCAGCAGTAGCCGCAGGGCCTCTTCTAGGCACACATAGGGAAAGAGCAAACACAGGGACTGTCTGGTGAAGCTGTGCTGGCTAGTTTTGTCAACTTGACACAAGCTAAAGTCATCTAGCCTCAACTTAGAAAATGCCTCCATAAGATCTGGCTGTAGACAAGACTATAGGGTATTTTCTTAATTAGTGATTGATGTGGGAGGACCCAATCCATTGTGGGTGGGGCCATCCCTGGGCTGGTGGTCCTGGGTTCTATAAGGAAGCAGGCTGAGCAAGCCTTGATGAACAAGCCAATGAGCAGCACCCCTCCATGGTCTCTGCATCAGCTCCTGCCTCCAGGCTCCTGCCCTGTTTGAGTTCCTGTCTTAACTTCCTTCAACAATGGATTTTACCTTGTGGAAGTGGGTATCAAATAAACCCTTTCCTCCCCAACTTGCTTTTGGTCATGGTGTTTCATTGAAGCAATAGTAACCCAAAGTAAGACAGGAAGCACAGTCTATCTCTTCTGCTATACTGTAGGTCATGAGTATTTGACAGATGATTGTCTGACTTGTTGAGTCTGATCATCCCCCCCCCCTCTGGCTCTGTGGTCCTGGTGAGTCCTGGGGTGCCCAACATAACAACAGTGAAAACAGAAAGGGATTTGGGTGAGCGAGGAAGAGCTGAGGGCAGGCTCACTTAGTAAGTTTCCTCCCAGCCTGTCCAAGGATTGTGCTCTGTGACTTAATCACTTCCCACGAAGTTCCACCTCTTAAAGTTTCCCATTACCTCCATGTTGCCAAGTTGAGGACTAAGGTTCCATCTCATAACCAAAGCATAGTGTGAGCATCTCTGCCTGTCCTGGTATCTAGGCTCCTTCTTGAGTTCTCAAGGGTCACAGGATAGCCTACTTGCATTCCTGTGGGTGGACACACCTGTATTCTCATGGCTCTAGTGTGTGTATTTTCTACACCCAGGGCACCAGGGGACATGTCTGTACACATTCTTGATTGTTAGGATTGGGTGGAACTGACATCCAGAAGGAAAACCAGAGTTCCACAAAGCACCCTCCAATGTGTAAGGGACTTCTGTAACCTCAAATATCCACTCATCATGGCTGCCAGGTACCCTCTTCCCTACCCCAGTCTATGGCCTCTGTGATGGGTCTGTCATGGCTTTGGAGAGGCTGAAATGGCAAGGAAAGGAGTGGGGGTGAACTGAGGCCAGGCTGGACTGTAGATTGTGACCTATATCCCTGGCTCCTTCAGTGGGCCAGTGACTAGCAGGAGCAAAGAACAGAAGTGAACAGGTTAGAGGGAAGAAGGATCTATGTGATATTCACAAGTCTTCTGTCTCTAAACACATCAGTGGGGCTCCTCACTCCAGAGTCCTTCCTCCCTCCACAGGATACTCTCGGGGCCATGGGATGCCTCTGAGTGGATCCAGAAGTCTCTGAACATGAACACTCAGGCCTCCTGCACCCTGAGCCCCACATACTATCACCACTGAATCTTCCTTCATGGTGACTGGTGATCCAAGTCAGGAGGTCTGAGGCATTGCATTCCACTGTCATGACGGGGCTGACTGTCCAGCATTGGTCTGAAATGAAATGCACTCTTAAATCTCCAGTTTCTCTGCTGTGTAACTCTGGACACCTCACTTAGCTTCTCTGGATTTTAAAATAGAAAAAAATAAAATATATTGTGAAAGA